CTTCCTTCCTTCCTTCCTTCCTTCCTTCCTTCCTTCCTTCCTTCCTTCCTTCCTTCGCATCTTCAAGTCAGTCTCGACTCCTGGCAATTGCCTCACAAGACCACAAGTTTCCTACATATGTTACAACTCTTGAAGGAAACACAACTGCCATCATCCTGAGATTGGCACAGTGCGAGGAGGGCTACACAACCATAACCAGGAAGCACCAGAGTCCTGGCAGGCAAGAAATGTAAGGGATGAAATAGATGCCATCAGAAACTGCAAGGATTATGGTATCCTCTTTATTTTATTTATTTGTATCTTTGTATTTTTATGTATAGCTCAAGGCGCCAAACATATCCAACACACCTTCCTCCTCCTATTTTCTCCCCAACAATCCTGTGAGGTGGGTTGGGCTGAGAGAGAGTGGCTGGCCCAAAGTCACCCAGCTGGCTTTCATGCCTCAGGCAGGACTAGAATTCAGTTTCCTGGTGATTAATCCCAAGTCATCCAGTTGGCTTTCATGGCAAAGGCAGGTTTAGAATAGAGCAGCGGTCGCCAACCGATGGGCCGTGGCCCACCAGTGGGCTATGAGAAAATTTTGGTGGGCCGCAGAGAAATCTCACCCCCAGAGCACCCCCACAAAGCAATTAATCCAGGCTGCGCAGAAACACAAGGCTGCGCCGCCCACATGGCCCATGGGAACTCTCCCCTCCCAATCACTCCTTAGCCAGTAAACTTGCCTGCTAAATTGCTATTTTTTCTTTTTCCGACCATCAACTGTTCTGCTATGCTGGGAGATTTAGATTAGGTAGGAAGCAGAAAATGGTTAGATTTCTTGCTTTCTAGCTTGTCTAGATCTTTGGCTCAGCACAGCCGAAACTCCCTTAGGACTGAAGGTTTGCTTACAAGCAAATTCAGTGCAGACTCACGGCAAGCAAATTTGAGAGAGCCAATGGCAGATCGATAGATCACTGAATGATTCTGTGAGCAACTCAATCTGCCTGCTTTGCCTGATTTTGGGTAAAAGTTGCTCTTTTTTATAAAAAATTCAATATTTACATACATGGTGTGTTGTGAGTTAATTTTGTGAGTTTGCTTGCTAGCAAACTTTATGTGACAGACTGAGCTAGCCGATGGCAGATAGATAGATATCTGAATGAATCTGTGATTCCGTGAGCAACTCAATCTGCTTTGCCTGATTTTGGGTAAAAGTTGCTCTTTTTTTATAAAAACTTCAATATTTATATAAATATTTATAATATTTACATACAAGCCATGCCCAGCCAGTCACATGACCACCAAGCCACACCCACAAATTAGGCCACACCCACAGAACCAGTTAGTGGTCCCTGGGATCTAAAATTATGAGTTTGGTGGTCCCTGAGGTCCAAAAAGTTGACGACCCCTGGAATAGAGTGTCTCCCGATGATTGGTTCAAAATCATTCAGGTAGCTTTCCTGCCTAAGGCAGGACTAGAATTCACTGTCTCCTGGGAATTAGCCCAAAGTCACCCAGCTGGCTTTTATGTCTAAGGCGGGACTAGAACTCGTTCTCTCCTGGGGATTGGCTCAGTTACCCCGCTGGCTTTCATGGATGAGGTGGGATTAGAACTCATTGTCTCCTGGGGGATTGGCCCAAAGTCACCCAGCTGGCTTTCATGCCTAAAGCGGGACTTGAACTCCCAGTCTTCTGCTTTCTAACATGTTGCCTTAACCCCTACACCAAACTGGCTCTTGAAGAAGCAAAAATAGGCCCACGTTTTGGAGCCACTCAACTTGAGATGTAAAAAAGCATATTAGCGAACCATTTGCACTAGTGCTGCACACATACACATGTCACACTGTGTTCATCTTGACTTAAGAAACAGCTCTTGGAGTCCCAAATAGCAAGCCCAAGGGGGAAGTGATTGAACCTACAGGTATGATGTGATTACCTGGGAACCAGGTAGATGGGCTTACCTCTCCGGGTACTGCAAGCTGTATGAGGCTGCCAAGAACCCGCCCAAGCTGTGACCCAGCAAGATCATGTTGGGGATGCCCATCTCCTTGCGCCAGGCCTCGATGGAGCTCACAAAGGCTTCCTCGGCCCCTTGGGCGTCATGGGGGAAAGGGGGACGAGAGCTCCGTCCGAAGCCCAGGAGGTCAAAGGCATGGAGGGGACGGTGGTGGCTTAGTGAGTCCAGGTTGAGAATCCAGAGCCCGATGCCGCCCCCAAAGCCGTGCACCATCACCAAAGGGGTACGACCCTTGCCCCATTGTGGTGTCAGCGAGATGGTCCAGACCTTGGCCTGGTTTGGGAGAGGCACGTAGCGGGACACAAATCGGTTTTGGAGGCCTGGGGGAAAAAGAAGGAGAAGCAAAGGTTTAAGTATGTAGGGCCATACCATCTCGAAATCCAGTGATTCCAACTGCTGAGAAACCCAGAGTAACAGGAGCTATCTGGTGGAGAACAAGATACAGGGGGGACATGATAACAATGTTCAAATAGGGGAGACATGATAGCAGTATCTGAGGGGCTGCCCTAAAGAAATGAGAGTCAAGCTATTTTCCAAAGCAGGACAAGAAGCAATGGGTGGAAACTGATCAAGGGGAGAAGCAATTTAGAACTAAGGAGAAATTTCCTGACCGTGAGAACAATTAACCAGTGGAACAACTTGCCTCCAGAAGTTGGGGCTGCCCCAACACTGGAAGGTTTTTAAGAAGAGATTGGACAGCCATTTGTCTGAAATGGTATAGGGTTTCCTGCCTGAACAGAGGGTTGGACTAGAAGACCTCCAAGGTCCCTTCCAACTCTATTATTCTGTTATTCTGAATACACAGTCCTTTTATTATTAAATTATAAATTTTATTAATTTTCTATTCATTACATTTCTTAGTGTTTAAGAGACATTGTGTCGTCTGGGTATTGAATTTGCTTAACAATACAAATGCCATTCTTACTCTCCACCCCTTTTTTCCAACCACTGGCAAAATAAGTTTCAAGCTTGATAATAGTCTGTGTCTGTTTAATTTTCAATGTAAATCTGTCCATTTCTGCACAGTCTAGTATATTCTTAATTATCTCTTCCCCTTGTGTGGTTTCTTCATCTTTCCAATATGGTGCAAAATTAATCTTCACTGCTGTTAAAACAGATAATACTAAATACATACTTTTCTTATCAAATTTTTCTTATCAAATCAAAATCTACACGTTTCCCTATTATATTTTCTAGAATACACAGTGATGACCTGGAACATGGCACAAAGGCAACCCAGACAGATAATACGTAGGAGTCCCTTTATTAGCTCCAACTTTGCCCTCAATGTCCCAATGATCTGGAGAAAAACACTCCCAGGAACCTGCAACAGCCTTTGACTGCAGATATTACAATACAAAACAATGTAAACAGAAAAAAAAACTATAAATCCAACAAAGCAAGATAAGGTAATGTCCGCGGGGCAAGATAAGGAGTTCCAGAAGTGAAGTAACACGGCAATAAATCAAACCAGTTGGGAGGATGCCAGGAACTCAGATAACAACATCAAAATTAGATAAACTCAATGTTTGTTCCTGACAAATGCCCCTCCAACTGCCTTTCCTTTAAACTCCCTCCCCAGGTGTGCCTTGTGAAGGGAATCAGGGCCCTTTCCTCCCTTGTAAGCCACACAACCCACATTACTCTTTTCTTCTTTCCTGCATGCCCTGGGATGAAAAGGGGGTGAGCATTGGTTTTTCTCTAAACCCCCTCTCCCTTGTTCTACCTCTTCCCTACTCTGCCCAGCCTGACCTTACCCTTCCCCGTTTCCTCCACAGCCAACTCTCCCACTCCCTGTCGGCTGTTCATCTTCCTCCTCTGATTCAGACTCTGACGGGGGCATGACATACACAATCCTTGACGTATGACCACAATTGAGCTCAAAATTTTTGTTGCTGAGACCATTGCTAAGTGAGTTTGGTCCCATTTTACAACCTTTTTTGCCACAGTTGTTGAGTGAATCATTGCAGTTAAGTTACGAACATGATTGTTAACTGAATCTGGCTTCCCCATTGACTTTGCCGGTCAGAAAGTTGCAGAAGTGGATCACGTGACACGCAACTATCATAAATACACATCAATTGCCAAGCACTGAAATTTTGATCACGTGACTACAGGGATGCATTAACAATCGTAAATGTGAAAAGTGGTTATTATTATTTTTGCATTGTAACTTTGTTAAGTTGAGAACTGCCTGTATCCAAAGGGCTGGCATAAACAGCAGCAGGTCAACCTATTCTCCAAAGCACCTGAAGGCAGGACAAGAAGCAATGGGTGGAAGCTAATCAAGGAGAGAAGCAACCTAGAACTAAGGAGAAAATTGCTGACACTAAGAACTATTAGTCAGTGGAACAACTTGCCTCCAGAAGTTGTGAATGCTCCAACACTGGAGATTTTTTAGGAAGAGATTGGACAGCCATTTGTCTGAAATGGTGTGGGGTTTCCTGCCTGAGCAGAGGGTTGCACTAGAAGCCATTTTGTCTGAAACGATATAGACTTTCCTGATTGGGTAGTGGGGTTGGAATAGATAACCTCCAAGGTCCCTTCAAACTCTGTTATTCTGTTATAATTCTGTTAAAATCCCTGCCCTCTAAAGACCTGCCTGAGCCAGATTCATGAACAAGGATATTTTATGTCATCTTTCTCAAGCAGAAAATCCCATACCATTCCAGGCTAGTGGCTGTCCAGCCTCTTCTTAAAAGCCTCCAATGATGGAGCGCCCACTTCTGGTGGCAAGCTGTTCCACTGGTTAATTGTCCTCACTGTCAGGAAGCTTCTTCTTAATTCCAGGTTGCTTCTCTCCTTGATTAGTTTCCATCTGTTGTTTCTTGTCTTGCCTTCTGGTACTTTGGAAAATAGGCTGATCCCCTCTTCTTTGTAGCAGCCCCTCAAAAATTGGAACATCGCTATGCCGCCGCCCTTATTCCTTTCTCTTCCTTAGAGAATAGAATAGAAGAACAGAGCAAGCTTGTAAGGGACCTTGAAGGCCTTCTAGTCCAGCTCCTTGCTCAAGCAGAAGAGTATATGCCATTTTATATGTGATTCTATAGACTCTTCCTAAAAACATTCAGTAATGGAGCATACCCACAATTTCTGAAGGCAAGCTGTTCCACTGGTTAATTGTTCTCACTGTTGGAAGTTTCTCCTCAATTCCAAGTTGCTTCTCTCCTTGATTAGTTTCCATCTATTGTTTCTTGTACTGCCCTCTGGTGCTTTGGAGAATAATTTGACCGCCTCCTCTTTATGGCAGGTCCTCAAATACTGGAACACTGCTATCATGTCACCTCTAATTCTTCTTTTCTTTAGACTAGCCAAATCCAGCATCCGTTCTTCATATGTTTTAGTCTCCAGACATCTAATCATCTTTGTTGCTCTTTTTCTGCACTCTTTCCAGAGTCTCAACATCTTTTTTATAATATGGAGACCACAACAGGATCAGTGGTGGGATGCAACCGGTTTAACAACCCGGTTTGGTGAGCGTGTGTTTTGCATGCACACCCAGCATTCAAAAACCGTCCATTTTAAGCTTAAAAACATACCTTTTTATGTCAGTGCTGGTGAGTAAAACAGCTGACGCGCGGCAATCTGCTGTGCTGTGTAAATAAGCTAAGAAACAGGGAAATATAGGACAGGAAAGGCAGAGGCGAGTAGGCAGGGCCAACTGTTCACTGGAACTACCGATTTGCTAGAAGAATCCCACCACTGAACAGGATCCAAATGTGGTCTACATTATGGGCAATGATTGGCAAAGAGGAGAAATCTCTACACAGGTGCTGCAGCCAGCATGTCACCTAAAAGTCTCTTTGGAGGTGGCACCTACCAAAGGGACCTCTTTGGTGACTCTTGACAAGGGGATGGGACATTCCTCACCCATCCACCCAAAATGAGCAGACAAATTGTTCTTACACTGCAGAATCCGAGCTTCCACATTCTTGAGGTGGGACATAGATGTGGGCCGCCAGGCTGGCAACCAACCACCTAGCCAGCCTTGGGACCTGTGGGAAGGAAAGGAGACCATGAGGAGATTATGGTTAGAACTATCTAGAAAAGATGGAAAAAGGACGAGACAGTCAAATGGTCATTGGTCCAAACAGCAAAAGAGGCCTCTTTTCAACAACCTGCTCTCACAACATTGTGATACCCAAAAGATCAAGTTTCCCCCAAGCCTGGGAAGAAAAGATTGAGAAAAATTACAATTAAATGAACAGGCTAAATGAATCTTCCCAACTTGAAGTATCCTTCAAATACTTGCAATTCCAATGTTATTATTAACACGAGAGATACATTTTGGTAATTTACATCGATTTACTATGTTACTGCCAAGGTTAATTTTGGATGGATTATTATTTTCATTTTTTCATCAAGTATTTATCTATTGGGTATATGTATGTTATTGCTTGCCTTCTCTTCCAGTATATTGTTTCTGTATTTGTTTGTTTTTAAAAAAAATATTTTATTTTATTTTATTTTATATATATAATAATAATAAATTTATTTATTTATTTTCTGAGGTATTTTATATATGACTAATTGAAGGACAATGCATTATTTTTATTTATTATTAGCTGTATTTATACACCTTTATTTCTAGAGTTGTCAAGGTTGTCAATTTGTCTTACAACCTGATAGATAAATTTTTCTATTGTAGTCATCCAGTAAAATATGTAAAGTTGGAATCTGAAGCCAGATCTTCTCAGGCTTAGTGTGATAATGGTGTGAACCATAATCCAAGAAAACATTGAAACTACCATCCTTGAAAAACATCGAAAATCTACCACAGTCCCTCTGAGGAAACACCTGCCTTTGGAAAGGTCCACCATGCCATAACCAACAGGATTCCGCATTTCATTCTATAGCCTGAATGTTTTCAACTTTCACCATTTCAGTGAAAGGAGGTTTAACTCCAGTCCTTCCTTAACGACCCGTCACTTAGTGCCTGTTCAAAGTTATAATGGATCTTTTCAGCGTTATTTATTTAGAAAAATTATATAAATTTGTTTAAATCTCCTCAGAGTTATTTATTTATTTAGAATATTTCTATAAGTTTAAATTTATATCGCCGCTTACTCAAGGCGGCTTACAATAAGACATATTTTATATAAATTTGTTTAAATCTCCTGTTATTTGTTTAGAATATTTATATGTTTAAACCAATATTTAAATTTATAAATTTAAATACCTCCTCATAGTTATTTATTTATTTAGAATATTTATATAAATGTAAATTTATTTCGCCACTTACTCGCACATGGAGACTCAAGGTGGCTTACAATAAGACATAAGAGCACATTATAAAAGAAATAAAAATAATAAAATAATAACCTCCCCACCCCGACGACAGCACACATTCATTTGTGTTTATGGGCTTTTTAATGGGCTCCATCCCGTTCTGGGTAAATAAGATCTGGTTCTAGAGTTCTGACAGTGATTAACACAGAGACACAGAGACACACTCATCATGTAATCACATTTTTGGTGCTTAGTAACTGACTTACATTTATTTGCATGTCCTGTGGTCATGTGACCACAATTTTTGGCATATGTTTTTAACCGGTTTCCAGCATTAACTTCTGGCAAAAAAAACTTCCATTGAAGAAAATAGGCTTGCTTAACAAGTGTGCTGTTTGTGTAACAACTGCAGAGTTCACTGCAGTGTTTTTAACGACCATGGGGGGGGGGAGGTTGCAAAACCATATAGTGACCTGCTTAATGACCACCATGACTTATGACTGAAATTCCTGGTTCAATATCAGTCATAAGTCGAGGAGGACTTGTAGTGAGCTTCAAGGCAGAGATTTGAATTGAAGTCTCTCAGCTTGATGCTTTATTTTGAAGAGGACACCACAATCCATTATATGAGCCGCCGCAGGAAGCCTAGAAGTAATGATGCTTGCCTCCCACATGAATGGTTGAGAGTTCAATCCTAGGCAGCAATATGTTTCTTTACAGGGTGCAAAGTGAAAATATCTGCTGCAAACTCCATGTAGGCATCAGGAAGAGTATCTGGTAGTAGATGCTCGGTTCCCATCCCAAAGCAAGATGTTATATGGTTGTAAAAAAAAAAAAGCTATGATCCATTATATGAGTCCCAAAGTGGCACCATTGTTCAGAGCAGAGCTGGTGAACGTGGCCTCCTTCTTTCTCCAGCTGTGTCCAGCAACTGCACTGGTGGGTGGGCAATGCATGCACATCTGCACACAGATGCAAACCTCTGCAAAGGTCAGCCGATCAGCCAGAAAAGAGGTCTTCCACGCACAGACACAAGTGTGGCAAGATGTGTGCAACAGAGTCTTCCTTCTTTATCTCTCGCCTGTTCTCTCTCTCCGATTTGCAGTGGGAAAGAGGGAAACAATGAATGACTTATGCTACACGTCTTGCAGTTTCACACAATAAAGCACAAGCTGCCCCTGAGGCTTTCGGCATGGCAGGCATACGAATGAATTAAATTCTCAGCTTGTACATGCATCCTATTGAAACTTTTAATGCTGAGCTCAACACTGGGAGGGAGGGAGGGAGGAAGGGAAGGAAGGTAGAGAGAATGAAGAGAGGACGCTTCAGAGAGATGAATGGATGGTCTGTTTCCGGACTTCCAGAACTTCCAGGAGGCCCCTTTTTCTCCCTCCCCAGGCTCCGGAGGGTTTCTTCGAGCCTCCGGGAGGGCAAAAACGGTCTTCCTCGGGCTCCGGAGGCCTGAAACGGTCCCATTTCCGGCCTTCCGGAGTCTCTGTGCGGCCCGTTTTTCGCCCTCCCTAAGTCTCCATGCGGACCCTGCACTTACCTCGCATCCAAATGGGCCATGTGGGGACTCCTGGGAGGGGCAGGGCAGGGTGGGCGTGGACAGCCAGGGATGGGATTTGCCAGTTCACCAAACTGGCCATGAAACTAGCTACGGGTTCACCCAAACCGGGGCAAACCCATAGCAGCCCTCTCCTGGTTTTAAGTAGAGTATTATATCTATGGCAAATGACATGTATCTATCTCCTTTGCCTATCATGGATTAGATCAAGGGTCTTCAAACTTGGCAAGTTTAAAACTTGTGGATGTCAACTCCCAGAATTCCTGAGCTAACAGGACTGGAGGAGGAATTCTGGGAGTTGAAGTCCACAAGTCTTAAAGATGTCAAGTTTGAAAACCCCCGGACTAGATAAAAGATTACATTAAAACAAAGTTTTTTCCCCTTCCAAAATCAATCCAAGCGGACACCAAAGAAAGAACCAGCCAGCCAGCAAGAAAAACTAGTCTATACTGTTACAAATCCATGCAAGGGCCAAACTGAAAAGTTGAATGACGGATTCTCTAATTTCATTTCTGAGCCCCTTGGCCTTGGAGTTAAAGAGTCAATGTGAACACAGAGATCATTTTACAAGGATCCAAGTGCAGAAAGTCAACCCTGAATCCCTCCCTTCTAATTCCGTTTCTAGATCATGACTATTTATTTATTAACACACCTGAATATAAAAGTTCCCTTTTTATCCAGTATGAAATTACCTCACGTATCTTGATCTCTGATCCAAAGCAGTTCAAAAACATTTTGGACCTAACTATTAGTATTATGTTATTGTTTTGTTGTTGTGATGGTTGTGTTCATTTGTTTTGTTGTTATTGTTGTTTTTATTGTTTTTATTATTTCTTTTATTCATTAAACATTAAACTCAGTCAACTGAACATTTAAAAATGTATCACAAATATCACTGACTGACGCTAATGGTTGATAAGGGTTGCTATTATTATTATTATTATTATTATTATTGTCATTGTTATTATTATTATAAACTTTTATTCATTAAACATGAAACTCAGTCAACAGAACATTTAAAATTGTATCACAAGTATCACTAACTGGCTCTGATGGTTGAGACAGGTTGCTAGGTATCAACCTAGGTATCATCCTAGGTATCAACCAAGTATCATCATCATTATCATCATCATCATCTTCGTTATTGTTATTGTTGTTGAAAAACAGAATAACAGAATTGTAAGGGACCTTAGAAGTCTTCTAGTCGAACTCCCAGCTCAGGCAGGAAACCCTACACCAGGGGTGTCAAACTCAAAGCCCGTGGGCTATATCCAGCCCATGGGGCTGCCTTGGAAACAGAGAAGGACCGACCCACGGTGCCTCTACTAGCAAAAACAGAGCTTGGGAGGGCCATACACAGCCCTCCCAAGTTCCATTTTTGGCCGCAACAGCCTCCTGCAGCCCTCTGCCAGTGAAAACAGAGCAGGTCCACCAAACTCCATTTTTGCTAGCAGAGGGCTACAGGAGATCGCAGCTGAAAACAGGGCTTCCCAAGCTCCATTTTCACTGGCAGAGGGCTAGCAAAACAAACTAAAAGCAAAACAAAACAAAAGAACGAACCTACCTTCCTCCTCTAATTTTCCCCACAACAACAATCCTGTGAGGTTTTAAAACAATGTGCAAACTGCAAAGGCCTCTGAGCATACATGGAGTATTTTCTCCCTTTCACAGAGTACGGCAACTCCCCAGCTGTAAAACTGACCTTGAAACAGCTACATCATCACTTCCCAGTTTGGGTTTGACTTCCTGACTTTCTCCCTTAGAAATGAATCTGGTCTGGGCTTCAGAAATGCCAGCAGACTCTAAAGCAGTGATCCCCAACCTTTTTTACGCCGCGGCCCGGTACCGGCATCAGCTGGGCGCCGCGGCCCGGTACCGGCATCAGCTGGGCGCCGCCATCTTTTTTTGATGAAAAAGTGCTTCCGGTGAGCTTT